TAGAGCTACACCCGTCGATTCCGCATTAAATATTAATCAAATATTGACCAGTACTCTAAAAATTGGACTCGCTCCGCTCGTCTAGCCGCTTCGCGACATGTTGTGAGCAAGGTGACGCCTCGTAGCCCAGATAAACCTCATTTGCGTATCATTATATTTGCTTTCACTGTACCTACTTGGGATAATTTATCCGGCATATGTCCTTATTTCCACCTTGGTGGGGAAACTGCCCTTAACAACCCTACAGAGCCCGCACGACTGCGCTGACTGGTGCAAACACAGACACAATTAATTGCGCACTGCTTGCGCGCACTTGCTTCGCGGCCGCGTCTGCTTCGCCACCGGTCGGTCCAAGCTTGGTGATCCGGGAATGGTTTACCTGGTTCTTTTACTTTAAGCAATATGAGAAAACCTAAGAAGACAGACAACAGGCTAATGTAGATATTCCAATATGCCAAACAGTAGTGTGAGCAACACAATGCCTGCCCTACGGCCACACTTTATATCGGCCGAAGTAGTTGCCCTATAGAAAGATCGTACTTGGTAAGACGTTGTAGTGTCAGGCAGTAGATTTTCTAATTTAAAACAGCTTGGTCGTGCTTGTTGCTCCCTCTGCCAAGTGGATTGCTCACAACAGAACAGATCATCGTGTTGAAGATTGCTAGATGTATTTGATGCGATGTAGGTCATGAATGGTGGCTTTCAGCACCTGGAACTTGATGGAGAGTGTGACATTGACTTTCGATGTGCTTGGCAATCCCGAATGCCTAGTGAATACTTATGCAGCGCCAGAGCGGTCATGCATTATCCTATCTAGTGACAAAAAACCAGGATAAAAAGGCCCTATGAGCAGGGTTGTACAGAGTATCATATACAATTTATACGCATGGAAGACTCGTGGCATGCGGGGTAACTTTGAGGTGCGCTGTAAGAAATCTAAACAGACATGTAATAGAGCTTGCACGCGCTATTGCGGAACTAGAAACATGATAAGTACCAAGACGACGCATATCACACAACGATCAAAAACAGATATGATGGAGATAGAGATATCGGAGCACTTTTTTTTTGCTCCTCTTTCACCTTTACTCTCATTTTCAAAATGCTGCGTTCTGATTGGCTGCAGAAACAGGACGTTCGCTTTGGTGAGTTTCAACTTGGAGTAAATCGGCAAAAAACTCGAAGAGAGTTGCAGTCTCGCGAAGCGCTTGTTAGATGATTACCTTTTGTTTCAAAGGGCCCTCCGAAATTTCAGTTTTTTCAAGTGCGAGTTTTACTTTGAGTTTGCTGAATCAAAAAAGTCGGCGTGAAAGAGGAGCTTCAAAAAGCGCTCCGAAATCTCTCAAATGGCCTCAGACACTGTTGCGGCCGTGCAATCACGTACAGCCTTCGTTTTTGGCATGGCCCGCAGCCATAAGCGGCGTAAGATCAGATTTTATAATCACCTAGCGCTGCACAATGACGCGCCTCGCTTTTAGCGGTCTGTTTTTGTGCCTTCACTAAGGTGAGCCCTGTGGCCCCTACGGCCGCATTCTATCGTGGGCGCAATCTTCTTTGGGCGGAGTAGTTGCCTGATAGTATGCTCGTGCTTGATATAACGTTGTAGTGTCAGGCAGGAGGTCTTTGTGTTTGTTCTGTGTTTTGCTAACTCTTCGCGTCCAGCTCAAACCCGGGTAGCAGAGTTAATCAATTGCGAGCGATTTTAAACAGATCACTCGTGCTGGTAGCTCCCTTTCATAAGTTGCGTGTCAAGAATTGCTTACCACAAATTATATTTGGGTCTATCGTGTTTAGAAATGTCCAATGTCAATGCGATGCGCTTTTAATTCGACCTACTTAACAATATGTTAAGTCGAGAGGCATGCAAAAGGTGATGCTGTACGACGCTTTTGTGCGTTGCAAACCCGCAGTGCGATGCGTAGATATCGCTATCTGTGAAAAAAGGAGGGTGCAGTAGAAGACAGCCATACAACAGTGGACACTGCGAGGAAGTGAAAATAAAGCGATGTCTTTATACAGAACCAACACGAACAACGACAGGGTACATTCGAAGACTGTGATCCAATAGCAGGGTGCGCGCGATGCACCACTTATCAGTGAAACCTAAGTGCGGGCAAATACAACTAATATACATGCAAGCTACAAAAAGACATAAAAGGGCAACACCAAACGGCGAACAGTTAAACGGGGCTTTCTGCGTACATCTAATTCTGTGTAGGGAGGTGGCAAATCCGAACTGAGCCGCCGCGGCGCTAGAAAGTTGAGGTACTCTACTCAGCTAGTCAGCCGGTTACCATCCATCGCCCAATCAAAGTATCGTACATCCACGTATTGCCGAATCACACCCGTTTCTTTACCACGGTCGGTCATATAAAGCCGGATATCGCACACAGCTAACCAACGCTCGACGCGGTCCGTGTACTTAAATTGCCTCTCCG